GTAGTGACATGCAGAGCCCCTTCCAGACTCCACTTAGTACAAAAAGGAGTGGGGAGAGTGGAGACTCTCTCAGGGATCAAGTTTTGTCTTGTACCTCCACTGGAGTCACAATTAACAGAAGAAACTCTTGGACTAGACTAGAACACGACAAAAATACAGAGACAGATCTACCTTTGTGTGTCTGTTATATCACAGTCACACCTGTGTAGAGTGAGGAATGCAACCTGAATCTGCACTGCCTGTCAGGCCTCTTCCACATCCATTCCTCCTTTTTTTCCTTCTTTTCCCCCCCCCCTTCTGTGTATCTCCCCATAGTGTACAACTATTCTGTGCATCCAATTTACTTGTATGTATAGTGCTTTTTATGTGTCTGACTGCTGTGTAATGCATATAAACACTGGGTGGTTTTTATTGAGAAAGCCCTGCCATGTGTTGGAAGCTAAAATCAAGCTAGCAGGCATTGTCTCTGCTTAAACAAATCTAGCAGACTGTTATCTAGAGGAGGGGAGTGTATTCACTGTGCTGTAGTTTTCCATTAGTGTTCTACTATTCAGTGCATATTTTAGCAATTCCTTTTCATTTTTTCTGATTCCACTCGTCAGTAATTGACATTTGTTTTCTCACTGTCATGACCTCAGGCCTGGAGGCTCAGCTCTCGTTTCAGTCAGCTGCCATCACTCAGCAGCTAAAAACTTCCTGCTTAAATGCATTAACATTATCGAACAAAACGTGTAGGCCCTCTTAGGCTTCAAAGGAATGGAAGTTGGAGCTGCCTCTGTAATTGTCAACAAGCCCTTGTGTATCCAGGGCAAGTGAAGATGGAGATCTCTGATTTTTTCTGACTCTGTTACAGTTCCACTAAAATCACTTGTGCTTACCAATGTAGGTTTATTTTTTTTCCTTTATACATATAGTCAAACAAGAGTATATGCCCAGTTTACAGACAGGAACTGGGAACAGGTCAGTGAGCTGGTTCTGTGGCCTGGGATGCTCTCTGGTTTGTCCCCTTTGCCTGGAACTCCTATATTGTTCCTAAAAACTAGATAAACAGGTGTTAACTCACATGAGACTCCAGGGCAATGCAGATTGAACCCTGGGACTGTATTTAGTCTACTACTGTAACTGTCAGAAATAATAGAAAAATATTAAAGAGCAGACTTCTCTTCCTTGGATTAATTTTTCTGATTATCTTGTATTTATTTAGTTGAAAATTAATCTGTGACATTTTAATGGCTTTCATTACAGAGTTTGCAGTATACTCACTTGTTATTTCATATTCTGTAGTGATTAATTAATTTAGCTAAATTCATAGGGAAGGCTGTAATTGCTGCAGTCTTTGAAATCTGAAACTGAATTCTCATAATGAAATAGTCGAAGGCTATGAGTCATTTAGGAACAGTTTCTTTAGGGAAGTTGACTTTCAGATATAGAATCGCTTTAAAAAAATTCTTTTTCGATCATTTTCTTCTCTCTTGGATTTGTCTTCAAATCAGATTTTGTAGATTCATCATTTAGAAATTAATTTATACTCTATAGTGTGTGCATGCATTCACTCAGTGTAGAACACACAGGAGAGGCAGATACTCTAAAGATACAGAAAAATTAAAGTATCACAACAAATACTTATAGTGACATCTTTTTGGAATATCCCAATTCTGCTTATTAGGAACAGTCGAGTGTTTGTATCCCATGTCTTGATTATAATTTCTAAAATAATTTAGAATTTCTTTCCTGATAATTCATTTCCATGAATTTTTGATACTCCAAGTCAATCACATATATCTGGTGCCAAAATACAAACACAATGGTATGAAAAAGCCATCAAAATAAGCAGGTGTAAATAACTGAATGCTTTCCAACACTTGCCCAGCTGTATTTTACAAATAACACTGAATCCATTTATGTTCATTTTATGTCTGCTAGCTGAATTTAATACAATAATTTAATATTCTCCACATATTTGTTCAGCTCTTTAGATTTCAAGGGATTTGTAAGAAATGTATATTTAATTCAGACTAATACAGTAATGGTAAATTATTATTCTGTTTTCAGTATTTGCCTACAAATTTGATTTCTACAGTCACTAGCATGAGAATGTCAATGAAAACTGGTAAAAAAGAATAAACCAATAATTTTCATTTTTTTTCTCTAATATTTCTGTTCTGTAAGCTTCTCAAGTAATTCAGTAGAGCGATGCTTCCCTAAGCTAAATGGTAGCATTTGCACATGCATTTCTTAAATTCTTTATGAAATCTCTTGTTTCTTCTAGCACACAGACAAACTTTTTACAATTACTTACAATCCAGTAAAATATCTCTTTAGGGGAATTTTCAGTGATGGAACATAGGTGCCATGAGGAATTTTAAATCTTACTGAAGTCTAGATTTACTTGTATTGAAAAGATTATAGATAGGGAGGAAATAATTTGAAAAATGTTTTCATATTTTGTTGCTGGGACTGGTTGAACCTCTTGGTTATGGCCCAACACTCATGAATTTATTATTTTGATGTAAATTTAACTCCCTAGAAGAGACAAAGGGTATGAGGAACTGAGCACATCTAGTTCCATCTCTGATGTGTTTCCTTTGTTTTTTTAGTAGTTTCCTGGGATCAGAGACCATGTGAAAAGGAAAGGCCAGTTCAAGTGCTGTGTTCTTAAATGTAGGTGTTGTTTAAACATGACATTAGACAGAAATTAAATTAGTTTAGATAAGTTGCTTTAGGTTTCAGAATGACAGATAGTGTTAGCTTCTTATATTTATGTATTTAATTCACACATTACTAATTCCCTTTTTTGTCAGCTATTAGCTGTGAAACACTTTGAGGAAAATTCAAGCCAGTTCCTATATTTGGTTATTACATTTCCATCTTTGAAAACACAGTAAAAAGGGCAATAATCTCTCTCTCAACCCCTATTGAAGTGTTATATAAAACTGTCAGTCCTGAGTATACTTGTTAACTTGAAGTGCTGTCATATCACAAGCTTCTCTAAATATATTTGTTTAATTCAGGTGCACTTCAAATGGTTCCCATGTAGTAACTGTTCCTTGGAGAACGGAAAATTTGTTCTCCAATTAATCTTGCTGCTCTTCCCCATCTTTCTTTTCTCCTTTATCTCCCTAAGTGTGTATATTTATATTTGCTATCTTATCAAACCAGTACAAATGGAATTCCAATTAGAGTTTTGATTACATCAGTTGTTACTGAGAAGTGAAACTGCAGAACCAGCTGTCAGTTGACTAAGTTTAGCTCAGTTGAATTCAGAAAATTTTCTCATGTTGAAGATATGTATTTTTTAAAAATGGAATATTTACTTCCCTAGAAGAGATTACAAACATTTTAAAACAGTGCTGAAAACTCCTCCTTATCAAGCATTTTGACTACATGAAATGTGTGAGTTCCAGATGTTTGTGCTACAGAATTGCACATACTTGTATCTTGATTCATAACCATGTTGAAAACAGTCCTGTGGTCTAGAGTTAACATACTCCCCTCTTATCTTCCACTTGACAAATTTTGATATAGAAAGGAAATATTTCTCTGTTAAAGGCAGTGAAACATTAAAGTGCACTGTGGGAAGCTGTAGATTATCAGGGTTGGCTTTATCAGCTTGCCTGATCACCCCTGATTACACATTAGTGTGTGCAGCTGAGGAGACCACTAAGAGCATAACTGACCTCCTTCACTGATTCAGTTGTTACTCCTTTATAGGTGAATCTCAGGGATAAACAGTTAAGTGGATGGTGATTACATTATGCACTAAAACGTGTGCCATTTTACAGTAGAATAAACAGCTACAGAAAAATATGATGGAAGTGCTCCAGGGAAAAAACCCCGAAGCTGTTTACTCCAACCTTTCTGAATTCACAGGGCCACAAATGAAATATTGTGGAATTCTCTTTGCATTTTATCCACAACAGTGTTATGTAGCAGGAACCACCTCATGTCTTCATTATTTCTCTTTTTTATTTGAAAATGAGTCTGCTGATGTTTTCTTACATTAATTATTGTTAACTGTTAAGAGATGCGGTGTTTTAAATGTCATCTACTGTTGACACTTTGGGCTATACCTTGCAGAAATAGAGTTAGGAAGCACTGTGAATTACAAGCAGAAATTTCTGAGGAGGTAGTATTATACTCAGATTAAATCCTCTTTAATTTGTTTGAAGTTACAGGTGCTACACTTGATACTATTTAAGTCACAAAATCTGAATTAAGAAATCACTTAATGTCTAGATTGATGGTTACATTTTAAGATGTGAAATTATGAGCATAACTTTTCACATGGAAAAGCGGCTTTGTGAAGTGATGAGTTAAAAAATGTCCCCATCAAGAGGTCCCTCTGCCATCACATGTTCTGCAATGCCTATCAGCAGAATATGCACTAATAAGATACCTTGGGTCCAGCCTACCCTGATATGATCTGAGTGTTGTTAACTCTCTAAAGGCTGTGCAGATCTTCTCTAAATGTCTAAATATACATATGACAAATCTACTTTTTAGTATTCAAGGAAGAGGATTGAGGGTGTTGAAAGACATCCTTAAAATCTCATTTAAATATCTCTCAAAAGGGGTCTCCTGGAAAGAATCTGGTTTGCCTCTGTTGAGTTGTGCACCACATTTTTAGAAGGCTGGCATCAACATTCCAGCTACATCATGTCCTCCCTTCCTCTTAGTTATTTCTTCCCTAAGCAAAGCTGTAAACTCCAGCCTGTGTAACTAGAAACACTTGTGACCAAAACCAATGACAAATCTGTATAATTACAGAACACTATGTGTATTATTACACAGCATTATATATCTATATATATATATCTACCTTATTGTATTTTTTAAGACACCGAAATGCCAACTCTTATACTTATAAAACCACCAGATGCTAGACAGTGCAAACCTTACTTTAATATATTATAAAGTTATAGAGTAATCCCACTGCATGGGCTTCACATGCACATAAATCCGATAGTTACATAAATAATATCAAATGACAAAACTAGAAAGCAGTTTCTGCATACTTTATTTTACAATTCCTCACTAAATATATTTACAGGACACAGAGTTTGCTTTAGTGCAATACATAGTAATGTTGCATAAGTACAAACTGTTGAACATTTCTGAAAAAAAAGAAAATTAAAGAAATAAAGCACTTAACTGATGTTACAGCTAAGTATGTAAAGCAACGTTATAACTCTGAGTGAAAATGCTCACAGCATCTTTTCTTTTCATAAACAATTTCTAGAAACAAACCACAAACTGGCATTACATATCCCAAACTACCAACCCTTGTACAGTACCATATCATTTAAAAAATGACTTTTTAAAAGCACATATACTGTACTGTACAGCAATCTGTTCTACAGATACTGACTTACTCTTTAATACAAATATGATATTACCATGGCAGTTTTGAAGAACAAAGTTATCTCAAGATATCAAACATCAGTAACAAACTCTGGTAAGCACAGCTTCTTGAGGACCTGCTTTAACAGCATTTCTTCACAGTGATATTTATGAAAGGTTGGAAAAGAGATTAGCATAAAATATTTCCATCCTTTTTCAGTTTTTATGCAAAAATCATTACTTTATATTGGTAATTATAAAATTACAAACACTTTCTATAAGTAACTGCATCTGTAGTAATGATAGAAAAAGTTATCAGTAAGACACCTAAAATGAGGCTTGCATAAAATGATAGTTTGAAGAAAACTAAGTACCTCATTTGTAAAATAATGGTAAGGGAGGTAACTTAATTTAGAATAAGCAACACAGTAATTTAACAGAGACAACCTATTAATCAGTTAAAAAAGCTAATTATTTGTTAATAAATGTTAAAAAATAAAGGAATTGTGATGAGGTGAAATCAACATTTCAAAAGATATGATGAAACATTTACTCTTAGTTTTGGCACTTCATTGGAACAATTACTTTACCAAAGACCAAAATATGTATAAAAGATATACAGCTCCTTGACATACCTTGCAAATATAGTACGTAAGTACTGGCAAACACTGAAAACATAGTTAGTTAAACATTCCCACAGATTTGCACATGCATGCACTATTCAGACAACAGCACTGTATCTATGTTCTGGCGGTGACAATCTTGCATTGCTCGGGGATTTTAGGCCGTTTCTTCAGCAGATCTTGTTTCTGTTTTAAGTCTCACAAACTCTTTAGCAACTTCATCATTGTTCCTCTGAGAAAGTATCCTAAGAATGGTTAGCCCAGTCTCATCCACGGAGATGTTTCTCAGCAGGGGGTACCAGGAGGCGCAGCTCCCTTTCTCCGCGATGCTTTGCAGCTGAATGACTGTCATTCCTATAATTCGGTCCTCCCGAGCAAAGCAATAATCTTTCACTGACAGGTGAAGTTCGTAGGCTCCTGGCTTATCTTCGTTACTCAGTGTGCTGTGTGGATTAAAAATTGTGAATTTAGAACAAGGAGTTCAGTTTAATTCCCCCAAGGAATGAATTCATTCTAGAAATCTTGGAAAAATTAAAGTGATAGTGGTAGTTTAACTTTCGTTGTTCCATTTTGTTGCAACAAGTATAATTTAGTTTTAAACCTCCTACACAGTTAACTTTTCAGATGCTGCTGGTGACGTAGCCTCTGTTCCCACTGACCTGAACAGGAACAGAGAATTTGCTCATAATCTGAAATAGGCAGTTACCTTTCCCTAGAAAATCACTGGTAACAAACATCAAAAGGAGCTTTGTGGTCAGACTGAACTCATTCCCAGTCAGGGCTGAAGGATAAGAGGATGAAAATAAATTGGTCTCACTTATAAAAGGGGAGGAGGAGTAAACATTGAGGAGTGCTATGAGAAGTACTGAATTTAAAACTCCAGGTTAGGTGAAAATTTCTTACAGTTTTAAGGATTAAATGATAACAGAATTAGATAAACAATACTCCTAACAATGTGCAACCCTTCACATATCTCTATGGTCATAAAGCCCCAGATACGTAGCAGTAATAATCAGTACTTCAGTCCACATAACTACTGAGGCCAATGGATTCCTAGGTATAAAACCAGTTATTCCTCTGTAGGGAAAAGAATTATACATTTTAACAGCTTTTTCAAGACTGAGAGCTTAGTGGCTGCCATTCATCTTCATATAAATATAAGATACAAATTAGTAAATAATTCTGAAGTGGAGTCTCTATCTATGGATTTGGATGTGTATAGCAGCCTTAGGATGGGGGTTTTTATGTTCTTACTGATTTAACGGCAAAAATTCGCACAAAATATGCAAAGAGCAGGCAAAAGAGACTTACAATTGGAAAGTTTCATTGTATTTTGGTGACCACGTGTTGCTCTTTGTCTTGGTTCCGTGTTTTCTTTTCTTGTCACTTAGTTTAGGGCCTAACATGCAAACTTCCACAAATGGCCGGAACATGGCTGTCGTTTGCCAGTTTAGATTATTAATTGCCACAACTATAAGGAAATAAAAGAAACAGAGTTAAATAAAATTCCGTTGGAAGACTTCCAATTAATTATCCTGCTTGACTTTGTATATCCAACAAAAGGTGACCTGAGAGCTTTCCTATAGGACAGCAATACCTGGCAAGCCCAGGAGGAGCTTCACCTGTTCTCTGCCAAGAAAAGGCGTCTGACTACTTTGGGCTCAACAGTATCAAACACAAACATGTGTTTTACAAATCCTTTACATTTACAGCCTTTTTTTTTTTTTTTTTTTTTTTTTTGCCTGCTACCTTCACTGTAATTAAAAAAAAATCAGCTTATACTAATGTGAATGATGCTGGGTTTCTCTCTGAAATTCAGGTTGTGCAGAACAAAGACATTTTGTTAAAAAGGCAAATTCTTAATGCTTAGTGCAGTCATTCGCCACCCAGCTTTGCTGCAGCTTTTAGAAAGTTAAATGATATACAAGCAATATAGAGGATATTTTGACACATTTTAATTTATACCTCCAACTTTATAACTTAAAATTTAACTGTCTACACAGAGAAACACAGACAGTACTTAAGTCCATAATCTGGACTTCTGTTGAGGTTGAAAAAGGAAAAAGTACATTCCCAATCACCTGAAGCATACTCACAGCTTCACAAGGACTGTAATACTTAACATTTTTTATTATTGGTGTGTTTTACTTAGGATGTAGTGCTTGGGGATTTGTTCCCTGCTATTGCCTTCTTTTTAAAGTTAACTGCTGGAAACTTACCTTTTACAGTGACTTTATGCTCCCCAGTTCCAGGATGTGTGGAGACATCCACCTGTATAGATATCTCACCCACGGAATTATTAGCAGTTTGAGCTGAAACAGTAATTAATAGGTTAGCACATCTGGCTTTAAGAGATGTAGTGAAAGCTGAGTGGTATTTTCTGTCAGAAACACTTAGACATTTCTGACACGTGTTTCACATTTAAGTGTGAATCAGTCACAGATTGATAAATGATTTAGCCACAAAAATACCTGGCAAATGCAAATGTCTGTGTCAAGTGCCTCAACAAAATAAATTATCCTGTTCATCTGGAACTTTCCATTTTTGTTGTCATCAGATGTGTTTGTATCTTGAAATGCAAAAGTTGGTGGTTTTGTCAAACTTTGTTTCCTTCCATGTGCACCCCAAAAATCTTACTGATAGTAAGAATTTGGTAAGTTAATTCTGTGTTGTTATTGATGAATTCTTTACTGGGGGTTATGTCCCAGAAAACTATTAAAGTTCTGCAGTAGCATAGACAGAGAGGCTTAAAGAAAAAAGAGGAAGGTTGAAGGGATGGCAGAGGAGCCAGAAACTTCAATTTTTAAAAGTTTTGCTTTTGAGCACCAACAGAGGTTCTAAGTCAATTTGCACAGAATGATTCTTTTAAAGGATTCTCCGTATGTATTGAAAGGTCCATTAATATATCAGATTAGAACAGTACAACATAAAATTGGATGTGTTTACTTGTTCTTTGCTTGGATGACTCTCAGCGTTGAATTCTGTGAGCTGCACTTGTGCCCCAGAGTAATCATCTCTGTGAACCACATACAAATTACTACCCCTTTATAACTCCCTACTATTTCTCTGAGCAGCAGAGGAATGATTTTATCTTCCTTCTATTTATACAGAAATTCCTTACCCACTGGTTCCCCATCAGTCTATATGTGAGGAGAATCAAACATTCCTTTAGAAGTTTTCCAGCAGTTCTTACAAGAATTAAGGAAGGAGTAGGGAGATTGGTGTTTTATGTAATAATAAAGGGGGAAATGATTTCCACCCACAAATTAGTTTATACCCAGAATATTTTTGTTCCTTTATCATGCATAGTTTGTGGTTTTTTGGTTTTTTTTCCCCTGAATTTCCTCATCAGTGGCTTCCTAGAAAGGAGTTCCACAGTGCTGTTTATTTGTTGTGTTGGCATGATCTATAATTCCACTCTCTACACTGGATGAACACTGCAAGGTCAATTAAATTCTCTTACCCCAAAATGTTACTGCTTCAAAGAACAAGGTTGTTTTTTTGTTTTTGTTTTTGGTTTTTTTTCCTCTGATATATCAAAATGTGGAAATTCAGTAATCATTTAACATACTGACAGCCTTGAACATTTTCCTGCATTTTCCAGCTTTCAAGTGAGTTTGGCTTGGAATTGTAATAAATCTACTTTTGGAATATAGTCAAAAGTGTTTTAGCAAAAATATACGGTGTCAATATATTAATGTAGTTACAGCTGCCACTTCTGAATTGCAGGGTACCTGTGTTGGATGTATTTCAGTAATAGGCAGAGGGTTTGGACCACTACTGACATAGAAAAAAGGAATTTATTAGATATCAGATTTTTAATGACAAGCAGTTTAGTTTCAATGACAGCAATTAAGTTTCTTTTTGTATTCGCATAATTACTTAAAGCTGCACTATATGGAATCTCTAAGCTGGTGAACCATTCTTCATCTTGCTCACGATAAATAATAAATAATTTTTAAAAAAAACTTGTATAAAAAGCGAGGAATAAAATGGACTAGAAAGGCTAAATAAAATTAGTAGAATGGCTTTATTGAGAAGGGTAAGCCAAGGTATTACCCAACTACAGTAAAATTGGCTTTTATTTGGGAAGAGAAAGGGAACTCTCTTTGGTCAAGGTCATAAATTTAATGCTGATTTTCTTTTCTCTTGCAAACACAGTGTCCTCAGGCCATGTATCTGAGTAGCATGTTTTTAGTAGTTACCTTTAACCCACAGTGCTGACTTGTGTGAAAAAGCCTTCCCTTATATTTTTGTGGATTAAATGAAGACAACACGAATAATTCAGAAGGCAGCTTATCCAGGGTAGAACTCCAATACTATGCATGATAGATATTTCTATATAGGAAATTCTCATTGGCTTTGTGATGCTGTAAAGTAAATCAAAGAGAGTAGAGACTGGAGGTCCTGGAGCATTAATCTGTCCTGTTCTTTCATATTGCAAAATCCCACCTTTCCAAATTGTTACATAATGCACGCATTTCAAACTTAATGGATTCTTTTTGTGGTGGTGAACATTTTTATGGACAATGCTTTTTATTCCATGGATAGCCTTCCTTCAGCTCAGAAGTTTGAGATGAACATACTGTAACTCTTCAGTCTTTAATCTTTTGTTCTGATTGAAAAGCTCTCAATGCCAAGTTGGACAGGAGAAAAGAACTAGAAATTCACAACATTTAAATCTTAGGGCCACTGAATGTGTAGGATAAACTGAATGTGCTGAGAGAATAAGAAGTTCTTGAACTGTCTCCCAATCAAAATTAATAATAATTTACTTCTGACTGCAGTGGAAGGTGAGTTAGGCTGATCCTGAATATCACTGAAAATATCAGGCAGGGCAAATTTCCTGTTTTAGCCTCTAGCTTAAAAAAAAAAAACAAACCAAACCCTGGTCAGGAGAAATAAGGAGTGTTGTAAAAGAAAACAATTAGCATTTTTTTCGATAGCTTAGGCAGCAGCCTGTGGACGATGCTAATAGCAGAGTTTGCTCTGTTAACCTCTAACAATGCCATGTATGATTTTACCAAAATAAAAATCTATGAATCTGTAAGATAAGGCTTGTTCTGTTTCTCCAAATTTTTAATTAACTTATGCAAAGGATATTCTTGCAAAGGTCTTCTAACTGATCTCCCATTCCTTCTCCTGGCAGGCCATAATTCACAACACTGCTCTAAGCAGTACCACAAATATATGGTGGGATTAGCCCTGTGTGCACAGATCTGCTTGCTACGGTTATAAAGAAATCTCTGCAAAACATCCCATGATTTTATACTGGAAGCAGCTGACATTAAAATGATCCTACATTCAGTATTGCTGAGGAAACCTCCTGCAGCAGAATGTTGCAGCCAGCAGAGGCAATTTCTAGTGGAGTCTAGAATATAAGCTTGTTTTCTTTCAATGACCACCCCATCCATCTTTCTCTCTCTTTCTGACCTGCTGAGCAAAGTAGAGATACAATTTTAGGACATTCAATATTTGCTTTGAGCAGCTCTTGTTGACGTTCAAGAACTGTGGCACCTCATTTTAAAGTCTCTGATCTGCCTATTTCTGCTGGGTTTTGTTTTTTTTCTTGCTCCCAGTTCTTGTAAACTCACAGCAGGAATTAGTGATTCTGACTGCACTACAGAAATGTCCATTTATCCTACCACATCTAATAAGCCAATTTAACTGACAGTAAATATCTAGCCCTGCACTGCACTTTTCTTCCTTTAAGTGCTGTAATATAACTCATTCAAAGATTACCAAACTTTCCTTTGAAAACCTTATGGATATTTAACTATTGCTGCTTGCACTCTAAACTCTGCTTTACATTTTATTTGTTAGGATATTCATGTAATTTAAAATACAGCATGATAATCATGGTCACGATAATCATACTGGCTACATATGCACAGAGAAACAAATTCCTCTGCCTTCTATTGCTTTGTAGGTATCTTTGGAGAAGTGTGAACTTGTGGACTCTGGTAGAGAAAACAGCAGAAAATGCAAGAGAAAAATGGGTCATGTATATTTTGTAACAACAGAAGCTCCCTGTATTTTCTAGGATGCTATTCCTGCTAAATGCAAGAGAATCCTACTGAATCAGTCTGTGATTGTGCACAAAAGCACATTACTGTGGAAGGGCTCCTTTGTCCTCCTTGATCCCTTAGCAGCAAGAAGTTTTCAAATGAGGAGTACTTTGGAAAATAACTTCTAGTTTTGCATGATAAAAGACCCCAGGAGAAATAAATGGGATTCACAGAGGATGAACTAGCATAAAATTTAAGAACAGAATTTCAGGCCTTGAAATGGTAGGAAGAGTGCATCTGATGGAATGTACTTTTCAGCTGTTCTGGAAGTTGAGGCATGGAAACTGGGATGCTTTCATGAGTTCTTAAAAAAATAATGGAAAATATTCAGAGTAGTTTGGTTTGGAGGCTCCAAGGAGCATTGGTATGCAGCATGGACCTCAGTGAGAGTGACAAAACGAATCTGAGAAGCTGAGGTAATGATTGTGCTGTTCACAGGTCTCAGCCCTGACTCTCCAAACACCACAGCTATGCTGCTGTGAATAGGAGAGCAGAGCTTGTACATAATTACTAATGTATCATTTCATGATGTGGAACATCATCTGCCTTATGTACTATCTGGTGATAAGAATTCCTTCATTTGAAACAGCTTCAAGATCTTTTGATATTCATCTTCCTGTTGGTAGTCTCACATAAAATCCTTAAATCTGGAGGAGGTTTTATTTGAGGGTCTGTTTCTCACAACATAAATGATAAAAGACAGTAGCAAACTGTGTGTCTGGGAGAGTGAGAGAGACGTTAAGGACATTCTTGCATAACAAGAATTCTTTTTCTGCTGCAAAGTCATCTTGTAGCAAAAGAGAAAAATAATGGAGTGTTTTTGTCATTTTTCACCTAGGGACATATTATTTTTGTTTTATCCAATAACAATTACAGCTTTCAATAACACAGATTTAATTCCTTTTCCTTGTCTTTTTTCTTTTCTTTCTTTGTTTTTTTTTAATGCTGTATTCCTGAAGCATTAATTGGTAAAGTGTTTGTGGTCTATGCAGTGCCCTTTCTTGTTTATTGGTGCTTGCAAGGACAATTCTAACTATACAGTCATATTTTAAAACATGCCCTTTTCTTCCCAAGTGTTTATGAGAGCAATATGCAGCTAATCGTTGTCTCTCTGAGCCTTTCCCCAAACTTGCATTGCATTCATAAAACTTAGAGGACTTGTTTGGGAAATTGTGTTTTATTCAAAGGTTCTGTTTTATTAAAATCCCCCAAATCTTATCAGTTAATGATGTAGATTTTGTTTT